CTCGACGTTTACCCTTTGCAGTAAAACCCCTGGTGGAGGCAGAGCTTCAAAGAATGGTGGAAGAGAAAATTATAGAACCAGTACAGTTTTCAGAATGGGCAGCACCCATTGTACCCGTGAAGAAGCCAGATGGCTCAATTCGAATTTGTGGGGATTACAAACTCACAGTAAACAGAGCATCCAGTGTGGAACAATATCCTATTCCTAAAGTGGACGATTTGTTTGCACAGTTAGCTGGAGGGCAGAAATTCTCAAAGCTGGACATGAGCCACGCGTATCAGCAGATCATGCTTGACCAAAGTGCCAAGAAATATGTCACTATCAATACACACAAAGGACTGTACACTTACTGTAGCCTACCATTCGGAGTAGCGTCGAGCCCAGCCATCTTCCAACGCACTATGGAAGGAATCTTGCAAAACATGCCACACGTCACAGTTTATTTGGATGACATTTTAGTCACAGGGACTAGTGAGGAAGAACATCTGAGAAACCTGGAAGAGGTATTGTCTCGGCTAGAAAGAAGTGGGCTGAGGTTGAAACGCAGCAAGTGTGAGTTCCTTGGAGAGGAGGTGGTATTTCTTGGCCACAAAATCAGTGCCGCAGGTGTGCATCCAGTCGCAGAAAAAGTCAAAGCGATCCAGGAAGCCCCCACACCGCAGTCTGTGAGTGAACTGAAGGCTTATTTAGGCCTGTTGAACTATTATCATAAGTTCCTGCCTAGTCTATCCACTTTGTTAGCACCATTACATGCACTGTTGAGGAAGGAGACAAAATGGGCATGGGGCTCTGAACAAAAAGAAGCCTTCGCAAAGTCAAAAAACCTTCTGCAGTCCTCAGCCATTCTAGTGCATTATGACATAAAGAAACCGATCACTCTGGCTTGTGACGCTTCCCCATACGGGGTTGGAGCCGTGTTGTCGCACATGATGGAGGATGGCACAGAGCGGCCGATCGGATTTGTGTCACGAACACTGAATGCAGCTGAGAAGAATTACTCCCAATTAGAGAAGGAAGGTCTAGCTGTCGTTTTTGGAGTAAAGAAATTCCACACATACTTGTATGGGAGGCAGTTCACCATTGTAACGGATCACAAACCGTTGATTTCATTATTTAATGAACTGCGAGAAGTGCCACAAATGGCATCGCCACGTACAGAGATGGGCTGTGACACTGTGTGGATATGAATACACCATTGTATACAAAGCTGGCAAGGAACATCAAAATGCGGATGGACTAAGCAGACTGCCGTTAACGGAGAAAGGAATAGAGACTCAAGAGGAGGAAGAAAGAGTACTTTTGCTTGAAGAAAATGATGTGCCCCTTGTCAAAGCAGAACAAGTGAGAAAACAGACAAAGATGCAGTTTTAACTCGAGTGAGAAAGTATGTGCTCAGAGGATGGCCAAAGAGAATGGACGAGTCCGTTTTTGGAGCATATACTAAGAAACGAGATGAACTCAGTGTACAGGGAGGTTGTGTTCTGTGGGGAGCAGAAACAATTACACATCAATCACCCTGGAATAACCCGAATGAAAGGTTTGGCACGAAGTTACATGTGGTGGCCACAGATGGACGCGGAAATAGAAGGCATGGTAAAAACTTGTGCCACATGTCAAGAGAATAGGAATTCTCCCCCCTGTGCACCTTTACATCCATAGGAGATGCCAAACCTGCCATGGAGACGAATCCACATTGATTATGCTGGTCCGTGGCTAGGGAGAATGTTCTTAATCTTAGTGGATGCCTACTCTAAATGGCTAGAGGTGTACCCGTTACATAAGTCTACCTCTACTGTAACCATTCAATGCCTGAGACAAAGTTTCAGCCAACATGGGATACCTGAAATGGTGGTGTCGGATAATGGCAGCAGTTTCACAAGTGCAGAGTTCCAAGAGTTTATGACCCGAAATGGCATCAAACACATCACCACAGCACCGTATCACGCAGCGTCTAATGGACTGGCTGAACGGGCGGTGCAGACGTTCAAAAGTCTGATGAAAAAGAGCACAGGAGATTCCATTGAGACAAAGCTTGCTAGAGCATTGTTCAGTTACAGGATCACACCACAGTCGACTACTGGGAAATCTCCTGCGGAACTGTTGTGTGGAAGAAAGCTAAGGTCTACCTTGGATCTCATCCATCCTGATTTTAAAAGTCAAGTGCAGGAAAAACAGATGAAACAAAAATTTTACCATGATCGACATGCTAGGGAGAGACTTGTGACTGAAGGTGACCAAGTGTACACTAAGAACTTTGGATCAGGGCCTATCTGGGTTCCTGGGACAGTTCAGAAACAGACGGGACCGGTGTCTTGTACGGTTGCACTTGGAAATGGCCAGATAGTGCGCAGGCACATAGATCAAGTGAGGAACAGGCATGTTGGGCCTACAGAGGAAACTCTGGTGTTGGAGGAACAATCAGGGAAAGAGGGGGAAGAGTTAACATCAATCGTGGGTGTCACAATCTCCAAAGACACTAATGTGGAGCAGACAGAGGAAACGACCAAGGAGGTGTTAAGGTCAGAAAATCCTGTGGTGAAAGACAATGTAGAGTTAAGGAGGTCGACGAGACCGAAGAAGACTCCGAGATACTTACAGGATTTTGAGTAGTTAGAAGTGAGTTCCCCAGCCACAGGGCAAGAATGCGTCCTGGAACTCACTGGGACGGAGGTAGTCCACCCAAAGTCCCTAGTTTATGTTGTAAATGCACACGTTATGGTTTTGTGTGGTTTTCTTGCATATTACTACTTGGTCAAATTTACAAAAGTTATAAACGTGATATATTGTAAAGAGTAATGTAAATACTATTGGAAGCTAGTGTTATCTGGGAAACGGGGATGTAGTAAATGGGATGCTATAGTCAAGGTTGTCCACTAGAGGGCGGCATGGGTTTGCATATGGGTTACCTCTGGTGATGCACGGGTATAGAGAGCAGTGGGTGTGTTAGTCTGTGATCTGCTGAGCCGGTGTTAAGAGGCACGTTGTCCGCTCCCCAGCTAGAATTTTTTTGTTCTAAAAATGTTCTGAGAACATTACCATGCATTGTTCTAATAATGTTTTCAGCGGGTAGTTTTCTTTTTGTTCCCAGAATGTTCTCTTAAAAGTTCTAATAACATTCTTTAAAAACATTCTAAAAATGTTTAATGCTAACATTGTTAGAACATTATTCCCTAATGTTCTTATAACATTTTCAGCGGGTAGTTTTCTTTTTGTTCCCAGAATGTTCTCTTAAAAGTTCTAATAACATTCTGTAAAAACATTCTAAAAATGTTTAATGCTAACATTGTTAGAACATTATTCCCTAATGTTCTTATAACATTTTCAGCGGGTAGTTTTCTTTTTGTTCCCAGAATGTTCTCTTAAAAGTTCTAATAACATTCTGTAAAAACATTCTAAAAATGTTTAATGCTAACATTGTTAGAACATTATTCCCTAATGTTCTTATAACATTTTCAGCGGGTAGTTTTATTTTTGTTCCCAGAATGATCTCTTAAAAGATGGCATAACATTCTCTAAGAACACTCTAAAAATGTTTTGTGATGACCTTCTATAAAGGTTTAATCATAACACTTTTAGAACATTACATCCCCTAACATTCTTATAAAGTTTTTAGCCGGAAGTTTTATTTTTGTTCCCAAAATGTTGTCTTAAACAAAAAAAATGCTTAGCTATAACATTGTTAAAACATACAATTTTATTAATCTCAAAATTAAAACATCAAAATCTAACAGGTTTATAAATGGCATCCACATAAATTATTAGAAGTTCTGCGTACAGTAAATGCCCAACATTACATGAAGAACTCAGTAAAGTCACTCATGCGTCTTGACTGCTGTGTTTGCTCAGAGCGCTCATCATCAGTCTTTGCTTGTCTTGGTTCTTCAGAAGAGTAATCCAGTCATCTGTATTAAGATTAGGTGTTCTACTGTTCTTCTCTTCTAGTTGTCGCTGCTCGCCCAGTTAGCAGCATTGAGCTCTGTTCTCTGTGTGCATGGTAGTTTTTCCTCATAGCCTATACAAGAAGATCATGCAAAAGTGTAAACAGAAAGAATACAAATACATACATATTAAGATCACAAGCAATATTGACATTGACAACTTTCAAAATTAGCCAGCCTAATTAGTAATCAGAAATTATGTAAAGACTAATTTATTTAAAGTATAAATATGATACCTTATGAGTATCTTTTTTTTCTGTAATTTAAAACATATACTTAATCCATTATATACATGTTAATAACACAACTAGAGGCTAAATTATGTGAACAAACTATGATGTTGGCTTGAGAAGCCTGAACCTCGAACCAAGACTGGAACCCAGGTCGCCCTGAGCACAGCTCCAGCATCACAGCGCTCGTTGCCCACTGGGCTATTGATTAATTCAAAAGGCTGATCCATCAGCAATGAAACATTTAATTTTATTAAATAATTAATTCAAGTTAAGACAAATTAGTTGGACAGCAGCAATTAACATTTTGTCAAAAAATCATGATTCTCAATTTACCAGAATCATGCAACTTTATTCTTTTATTATATTAATTTGAATATTTGTATTAATTTGTAAAAAAAATAAAAATAAAAAATATATATATGTATGTAATTGTATTTTATAATACTGTCACATCTTACATTTGCTCTGATGTTCTGAGTTACCAGCAAGTAACTGATCAACCTTGTAATGTATACCCTTTCTCATTAATTGGCATACATTTTTTTCCCCCAGCTTTTTTAAAGTTTGATGTCCCAAATGTACCCGACAATGTGAAGGTTGTTGATGAATCGGGGACTGAGGTGGATGAGGATGTTTTTGAGGATCTAGTTAAAGATCCCTCGGTTGGTGTTCTCACCATAAAACATGGTGCAGGTTTGCAAATTTTTTTATTTACTTTCTATAAATTTTCTCAGTGCTTGCTTATTAGTATCATAAAGATTTTGACCACCCTATATTCAACTAGACTTGGAATCTGCCTCTCCACAAGCCTCTCCTGTGCAGTTAAATGTGTCACTGTCTTCATCAATCGACTCCACTGACTCACAGGATACAGTAATAATTGAAGAAAGCTCTTCAAGTAAAAGAACGAGACTAGATGATGAAGCTAAAAAGGTGGGCATCAAAGTAGTTCTTTATACATTTTGGGGGGGTTGGGGAAAGACTGTTAAAATTCATCAATCTGAAATAATAGCCTTTTTTTTATTACATATTTTTTTTCAGGTAATGTTTTGTACTTTAACATGCCATATTTATGTTTTTTTTTTAAGTTGGTGGAATCCATTCTTGTCCATAAACCTGGTGGAGAGCATATAATAAATGAATACAACCGATTTAAGACTTTGGGAGATGAAACGAGGAGGAAAATGGTGAACATCCTGGCAGCTGACATGACAGAAAAGAATGGGTAATCTGCATATCTTTAACTGGTGTATATGGTCTCTCAATGTAGTTCCATAATTTGTTTTTTTTTAACCTGTGCTAAAGATAGATTATTTATTTATTATACAGTACATCACCACCAAGGCAGGTTAAAGAAAAATATGCCAGAGGAATTGTCTCTTTGTTCCCTTACCTCAGTGACCCCTTGTCCAAAAAAGGCTATGTAAGTATCACACCATTTTTGAATTTTAATTCTGTGTTGACATGTCTTAAATGCTGATGATCACACACAATACAGGTGGTGTATTTTGCTCTTGAATTAAGACTTTTTCTCTTTATGTATTTTTGTCTTTCTAAGGAGCATTACTATGATGGTGAGAGTGGCACTGGGTACTTGGCATGGAGAATCAAAACTATACAAAGAGGCCTGGCTAAAGAACGAAGAGCATCATTTGATGGTACAAAATGAAATTCAGAAATCACCCTTTTTGCTTTTTTTTTCCATAGCTCATTATGCCATCTATCACAGTTTGGAGTTTTGTTGCTATTGAGTTGCCTTAACTGACATTTTAATTTGTATAAAGATGAACATCTTTTACTTTTTTTTTTTTTTTTTTTTTACTCCATTCTTCTTTCTTTTCGGTAGGAAGTGGTTCATCCCAGTCATTCTGCTCAGCTGAGATTTCACGAAGGAGAGCTTTTCCCTGCATTGTTATAGGAGCCACAAATCCTAAAGGGTCAAACAAACTGTTGACTGTGGCCAAAACACCTCTCTTAGTGTATGGTCTATCCTCTTGAGACACTTTGAATGTGAAACTGTCTGTTTCCAGGTTCCACAAGACCCCCAAGCTGCGCTGTAAGGGAGATCATCTGACGTGAGGTCCAAATCCTTCAGATCCTTGGCCCTCTCATCAGCTGGAAAAGCTTCCATAACCTTGTGACTGTTGGATGCTATCTTGTGCAATTTCAGGTTGGAGTCAGCTAGCATCTTCTGTGATCTTGTTAGGATGTCAATTGCTTCTTCAGGGGTTGGTGCAGATGCAAGTCCATCATCAACATAAAAATGTCTTACAACAAACTGCTTGGCATCAGCGCCATGTTCTCTCTCACCCTCTGCTGCAGCGCGCCTCATGCAATAAATAGCCACGGCTGGTGAGGGGCTATTTCCAAATACATGGACCTTCATTCTGTAGTCCCTCACCTTCTTGCTGAGATTGTTCTCTTCATACCAAAGGAACCTGAGGTAGTCTCTGTGGTCTTCGTATACAACAAAACTGAAGGGTTGGTCAAAATCCCTTGCCTCTTCAAATACATATATAATCATATATCCTTTTGAATGGTTATATACTTCCTTTATAAAAATCAATAATCAAATATATTCATTATCACATAATAATTTTTATATTCTTTGTGCTTGTGAAATTATATTTTCTTAAATGCATGTGATCTAAATAACCAGTTTCTTTTAGGTGCATTCCAATCTTACTTTGAGATTGCACGTAGTACACGCAGGACACGAAGGCCACGTAACCCACAAGGCCGTTTGTCTCTTTCTCTGGTATCAGTAGAGGGTCCTAAAGGCAGCGTGGACACATATGATTCTTCGCTGGACATATGGTCAAGCTATATTGAGTGTTACTATCAAACTTTAATTGTTGTATTAAAATGTATTCCTTCCAGTATATTTCCTTCCTTGGGAGTAAATGCCAGTGATCTGTTTTTCTCCCAAACGAGTGAATGTTTTAGCATTATGTTTTGGTATACTTAACTGATAATAAGGAGCTCAGACTCTCTTCAGCCTTGATGGGAGCTGTTATTTGCTAGTGTCTGTTATTTGTGTGTGTGTGCGTATGACATTCTATGTAGGTTCTGGACGGTCGGACCAGACACCCCGGCGCCCTTCTCTAACCTGCGAGGCCACCACAGACCTAAATCCAATGAGTGGACGACAACTATCGTGACTAATGGCGATAGGCACCCCTATCTCCTCACATGTGTTAAATTGTTTAGGCTTTCATGTTTCTTAGCCAATGAGAATCATTCAACCTGTAAGCAATGACGTAGCTTAGACCTTGGAAATGGTATAACTGCTGTGATCTTTGTAACTGTAAGCGGGGCGGCCTACGAACTCCTGTGTGAGTCTTGAAGCTGACTTCTGCTGATGAAAATGCAAACTATCTTCAGTAAAACTTTTCTTTAATTTTTTATAATTCTGACTCCGGGTCTTCATTCTTCATATCTGGTTCTGGGTCTTTGACTGTATACCCCTAACAAAACAATAAAACATTTGCTGTATATCAGCTGTGAATGCAATGGATTCTTTTCTGAAACGTAGAAGAACCCCCAAAAGGCTGTTATTTAAATCAGGACCACTAAGCAGCACTTTGTTTAAGGACACTCCTTCATATTCAGCACTTGAATCAAATACCACTCTTAGCTGGTCAGGTTTCTTAGGGTGATATACGCCAAATGAAGGTAAGTACCAGTGTTCTTTATGTTTCTTCAGTGGAGGAGCAGGCTCTGAATGCTCGTTTTCTAACATTTTCTGCATGAAGTCAATGTACTGCTTCTTCATGTCAGGTTTTCTGTCCAGTGTTTTCCTGAGAGAATAAAGACGCGTCATTGCTTGCTCTGTTACTTGGAAGGCACTGTCTGGTGGAGCGAAATGGTAATGGCGCCACCCAGCTGTTTGCTTCATTTTGATAGACTTCTCTGTCCATCAAATCAAGAAAAACCTGATCATCCACTGAAAACGCTGATTTTTCATCTTCTCTGGTTCTTTCAAAAACAGCAGATCCCAACATGTCTATACTACCACTATGGCACTCTTACTGTGTACAAGAGGCCGGAGAACAGCCGAGATGTGATGACTGACTGAGACTCTCCTTCACTAAGATTTTGTTTGGGCATGGGCTAAGAAAAGATGTGCGGCCGTTACTGAGCACATGTGTTTTCAGGACATTAACACTTGATGGCTTGTGAGTTGTTCCTAGGCAGATGTCGCCCACGATGACCCATCCCAGGTCCAGCCTTTGCGCATAAGGAGCACTGTGGGGTCCGTTAATTTGCTCTCTGACCTTGTGCACCCGCAGGATATCTCTTCCCAAGAGTATGAGGATGGGAGCGTCTGGATCCACAGGAGGAATCCTCTCAGCAACTCGCTGCAGGTGGGGATGACAACGTGCCACCTTAGGAGATGGGATCTCTGTGCGGTCATCAGGAATCATGTCACATTCAATTAAACTTGGTAGTGATAGTTGTATTTTGCCATCCATGGATTCGATCATCAAGTTTATAGCTCTTCTGCCCATTGCTTTGGTTACCCCTGAACAAGTTTTCAGTGTGTATGGGTCTGATGTGGTTGTTATGTTAAAAAGATTAAAGAATTCTGATTTAGCGAGTGACTTATTACTCTGTTCGTCTAACACCGCATACATTTTCTTTGCTTCCTCTCTTCTTCCAGCAGGATACACTATCACTGGACTGATTTTGGAGCAGGAATGTAGACCATCTGAATTGCCGCATATCTCTGTGCATTTGGATGTCACTGGTGTCAAAGCATTTCCATTCACCTCCCTGCCATCATCTTTGTCAGCTTCTTGGCTCCCTGTTGTAGTGGGTGGAGGACCAGGATGCAGTGCTGAGACGTGTTTCTCACTGTTACACTCTAGACATTTAAGTGTCACTCTGCAGTCTTTTGCCATATGCTGTACTGACCCACAACATCTGAAACAAATACGGTTCTCTTTCAGAAATGATTTTCTTTCATCAATATGTTTAGCTCTGAAGCTCCTGCATTTTTTTAGTGGGTGGGGCTTTTTATGTATGGGACATAACTTATCAGGACTTTCCATAATGTTCTCACCAGAGCTACACTGGATAGTCATAGAATCTTGTGGAACTTCTGTTTTGTGCACAGTTACAGAAGCTCTGTTGCCACTTCTTGTGTATTTCTCAGTTTTCAAGCTCTGGGTGCTGGAGGATGTAAAGGCAAAACTGGGGTCGTTTTTCACTCGTGCCTGTTGTCTTACAAAGCTGGAGAAGAAACGAAAAGGTGGGAATGCGACTCCATTGTCATCCTTATATTTGGATCCTGTGGCAACCCATCTCTCTTGCAAGCTGTAAGGTAATTTCTCCACGATGGGATTTACTCCACGAGCTGTGTCCAAATATGACAGGCCAGGTAAATATCCTCCCTCTTTTGCACACTCTATCTCCTGAAGAATGTCACCTAACTCCCTTAGCCTGACATTATCTCTGTTGGTGAGTTTAGGGAAATCTTCAACCTTTTTCAGCAGAGCATGTTCTACTGCTTCTGATGACCCATAACATTCTTCTAGTCTTTGCCAGACTAAGTTGAGTGCTGCTGTTGGGTTGAACACATGTACAGAGCGAATGCTCTTTGCCTGCTCTGCAGACTCCTCACCAAGCCATTTAGTTATCAAATCCAGTTCTTCCCTCGATGAAAGGTTGAGATCTTGGATGGCACTTTGGAATGATGCCTTCCATGCCCAGTAATTCTCAGGGCGGTCGTCAAATTTCAGGAGACCTGCACTCAACATTTCCCTGCGAATAAGGTATTTTGTTACGTCTTGCACACCTTGAGTGTCGGATAAAGGCTTCCCTTGAGGATGAAATGACTCTCTTGCAGGTTCTTTCTTTCTAACTAATCTATCTTCTTTCTTTCTAAATAATCTATCTATCTTTTATCTTTCTAACTAATCTATCTTTCTTTCTAACTAATCTGTTTTTTTCTTTCTAACTAATCTTTCTTTCTTTCTTTCTAACTAATCTATCTTTCTTTCTAACTAATCTATCCATCTTTCTTTCTAACTAATCTATCGTTCTTTCTTTCTATCTAATCTATCTATCTTTCTTTCTAACTAATCTTTCTTTCTTTCTAACTAATCTATCTTTCTTTCTAACTAATCTATCTTTCTTTCTCACTAATCTATCTTTTTTTCATTCTAACAAATCTATCTATCTTTCTTTCTAACTAATCTATCTTTCTTTTTTCTAACTAATCTTTCTTTCTTTCTAACCAATCTATCTATCTTTCTTTCTAACTAATATTTCTTTCTAACTAATCTATCTTTCTTTCTAACTAATCTATCTTTCTTTCTTACTAATCTTTCTTTCTTTCTAACTAATCTATCTTCTTTCTTTCTTTCTTTCTTTCTTTCTTTCTTTCTTTCTAACTAATCTTTCTTCTTTCTTTCTTTCTAACTAATCTTTCTTCTTTCTTTCTTTCTTTCTTTCTTTCTTTCTTTCTAATCTTTCTTCTTTCTTACTTTCTAACTAATCTTTCTTCTTTCTTTCTTTCTTTCTTTCTTTCTTTCTTTCTTTCTTTCTTTCTTTCTTTCTTTCTAACTAATATTTCTTCTTTCTTTCTTTCTTTCTTTCTTTCTTTCTAACTAATCTTTCTTCTTTCTTTCTTTCTTTCTTTCTAACTAAT